AGTAACACGACAAACCTGTCCTGAAATATTTCTATGGTAAATATACCGCGGGGAACGTCTGCGTCCGTCTCATTTTGGGAGATTCGCTCAGACTAGTCTGACTTGTCCTCCGCCATAAGAAGGGTGAGAGCTGCATAATCTCATCCCCGCCCCCGCTGGTAATGGTCCTGTGAGCGTCTCTGTGCTGGAGAATGAGCAGATTAACCTCTCAGGACCATTAAAACTCAGCTAGAGGGGGGGCTTAACACAAAGGTATAATTAGTATCCGATAATGACTGCCAGGAATCATTTCCAGCTTTTATCCCCCTGAGAAGAACGCTGGGAGCCACCATTGTCTGCTGCGGGTCACCCCACTGAAAGCCTTAAAGTGATATTAACGTCAAAAGGTTTTTACGTTGTTTCAGATGCTGATGAAATCACTTAGAATGGACGCAGCTCCTTGACGTTTAAAAGTTTTACCTTCCTGCAGAACCAGCTGGTCCCCTGAGCACCGGCCCTGATATTAGGGTGGCTCCTTTCCCTTGCAGGGTCCTATGGAGCCACCCCTGTGTGTGCTAGTAAGCTGTGCGTATCTCCACAAAAACAGACGCAACGCAAGCCATTCTCCTCGCCGCATGCTAAAATTGTACACCGAGCTGCACGTACGTACATTGCGAACAGGAAATAAAAGAATCTTTATAGTGCAGAAGAGATACAGTATAGAATAGAGATGCACCGATACCAGTTTTTCGATATCGAGTACCAATATCTTTTTTCCGGTACTCGCCGATACCGGAAGTCCCCTTAAGAAAGCCGGGCTGCGTGACAAGGAAGCATGGACCCGGCTTTTTGGCCATTCAGGAAGCCGGGCGGCATGTAATGACTCCCCACCTGGTTTTCTGAGTAGCCGAGAAACCGGCTCCATGCTCCCTCGTCACCAGGTGACCTGGCTTTCTGGCCAATCAGGTAGCTGGGGGGCGGGAAATGATTCGCCCCCACCTGGCTTCCTGATTGGCCAGCTTCCCGACCAATCAGGAAGCCAGGCTGTGAGTCATTACACGCCCCCCGGCTTCCTGATTGGCCAGGAAGTGCGCTCCATGCTCCCTACTGATGAGGGAGCATGGAGCTGGCTTCCTGGCAAATCGG